ATTTCCCGGCCAGTCACACTGGGTTCCTGGGTTGCCAAATGGGCCCTGTTTCTTCCCAGTGGCAACCTGCTATGCCTAAAACGCTCTTCCCCACCCCCATGCACCATAAACCTCCCTGCCTTCCTCTGTGGCAGATGCTATGAGTGGTGCCCCAATCCCATGCTGTTCCTAAGCACACTGCTAGGTCCTGGGGCTCATGCTGGGGCATTCCTGCTGCCAACAGGAGCAAGGGACTCCCAGAATAGCTCTTGGACAAGGCCGGGTAAGAGTTGGGTGGATAGAGGAGAACCAAGATGGCGGCATAGGTTAACGCCGGAGTTTGCTGCCTCGAACAACCACTTCAAAAATACAACTAAAAGATGGAACGGACATCACCCAGAACCACAGGAAGGCTGGCTGAGGAGAGATTCTACAACTAGAAGTAAAGAGAAATCCATACCGACACTCAGAGGAGGCGCAGTGCGGAGGTGAAATACTAAGGTGCGGAGGTGCGCGTGGAGCGGGCCGGCGGCGGAGGGCGAGGTTGTTGTTTTCAATCGGGAGGGAGTTTCAGACTCTGAGCTCCAGATCCGGGTGAGTCTCTAGGGATCCAGACTCAAACAGGAGAAGCGGGAAGGCAGCTTTCTCTCCGAGGTTTGCAGCGGTTGCAGAGCCGCTGGGGACGGAACTGAGAGCAGCCATAACTGCTCGCTCTGCCTGCCCTGTAGATCCCCTGGGACCTGCCCCGCCCAAGCCCTGCACAGAAGCATTTGCCGGATAGCCTCAGGCAAAGGCTAGATTAGCACCACCCTAGAGATTCAGCACAGAAGCTCTCCCACTGCAGACACAGCTGACTCTCATAGCCAGTTAGCCTGGAGGTCAATTCACCCCTAGTATTGCTGACAACAATTAAGGCTTAACTACAACAAGACTTCGCACAAAGACCACAAGGGGGTGCACCAAGAAAGCATAAAAAATGCGGATACAAAAAAACATGACAGAAATGGAGGATATAGAGCTAAAAAACGGACTTTTGAGGGCTTTCAATAATTTGCTAGAAACTGCCGATAAACTTTATGAGAGCCTCAAGAAATCTAATGAGACCCTCAATGTTGTGATAAAGAACCAACTAGAAATTAAGCATTCACTGACTGAAATAAAGAATATTATACAGACACCCAACAGCAGACCAGAGGAGCGCAAGAATCAAGTCAAAGATTTGAAATGCGAAGAAGCAAAAAACACCCAACCGGAAAAACAAAATGAAAAAAGAATCCGAAAATACGAAGATAGTGTAAGGAGCCTCTGGGACAGTTTCAAATGCACCAACATCAGAATTATAGGGGTACCAGAAGATGAGAGACAGCAAGATATTGAAAACCTATTTGAAGAAATAATGGCAGAAAACTTCCCTCACCTGGTGAAAGAAATGGACTTACAGGTCCAAGAAGCACAGAGAACCCCAAACAAAAGGAATCCAAAGAGGACCACACCAAGACACATCATAATTAAAATGCCAAGAGCAAAAGACAAAGAGAGAATCTTAAAAGCAGCAAGAGAAAGAGACTCAATTACCTACAAGGGAATACCCATACGACTGTCAGCTGATTTCTCAACAGAAACTTTGCAGGCCAGAAGGGAATGGCAAGAAATATTCAAAGTGATGAATAGCAAGAACCTACAACCAAGATTACTTTATCCAGCAAAGCTATCATTCAGAAGTGAAGGTCAGATAAAGAGCTTCACAGATAAGGAAAAGCTAAAGGAGTTCATCACCACCAAACCAGTATTATATGAAATGCTGAAAGGTATCCTTTAAGAAGAGGAAGAAGAAGAAAAAGGTAAAGATACAAATTATGAACAACAAACATGCATCTATCAACAAGTGAATCTAAGAATCAAATGAATAAATAACCTGATGTACAGAATGAACTGGTGATTATAATAGAATCAGGGACATAGAAAGGGAATGGACTGACTATTCTTGGGGGGAAAAGGGGTGTGGGAGATGCAGGAAGAGACTGGACAAAAATCATGCACCTATGGATGAGGACAGTGGGTGGGGAGTGAGGGCGGAGGGTGGGGCGGGAACTCGGAGGAGGGGAGTTGGGGTGGGGGAAAGAGGAACAAACGTAATCTGAACAATAAAGATTTAATTAAAAAAACACACACAACTTCATTATTAAAAAAAAAAGAGTTGGTGGATAAGTAGCCCAGCTCCTCACCTACAGGGTGGCTCCATTTCTAATCAGGCTCTATGCTCTCTCCCTGATTCCCCAGATAGACTGAGCCCAGCTGCCCAAGGTGGAAACCTGCTCAGTAATTTACCCCACATGGGTGCCCCCTGACCCCTCACACTCCCCCTTCTGGCCTCCTGGTGCTTCCTGGGATGGCCTCCCAAATATCTGCACTTGAATTCTAGCACAAGAGTCTGCTTCTGGGAAACCCAAACTAAAACACTTCCTACTCACCTTCTTCACCTTATTTCACTCCTACTCTGACCTTGGGCTGACCTAGAGAAGTGGTACTCAGCCTTGTCTGCATATAGGGATCACCTCCTGGAGGGTTTTAACACCTAATGAGGCCGAGGTCCCCCCTAAAGACTCTCATTTAATTGATGAGGGTGCTGTAGGACATTTACAAGCTCCTCAGGAGAAATGCTGTCTGAAGAAGTCTTCCCCTGACAACCAGACCTTGTCTATGTTCCATGTCTCTGGAACAAACATCGCGGCTCCTCATTCATGGTTGAGCATTTTTTCTTTCTAATTGGACTGATGGCTCCCCAAGGGCTATGATCATTTCTGTCCATCTCACAGCCCCACCTACAATGGCTAGCATAGAAGTGGCTTTGGAGAAACTTGCTAAATGTGTATGTTCCTTGGGTACCAAGGGAAAAAACTGTGAGGAAGACTAGAAAAGTTACAAGACCTAGGAGCTATTCCTTTATCTCAAAACTAGTGTCCTGGTGCATGGATTCGTGCACATTGAAAGGAAATTAATTAGAAAAAATATAATAGAAGTGTCAACCAAATTCACAATTGACAATGACAGATTGAAACACATGTGTGTGATTGGCGCCAGCAAGAGCTTTATATATATAGATAAACTTGCTTAATTAGACCTGTTTTCTGATTTAGCTAAACTTTTTCCAGCCCAGTGAAGCACCCCAACTTCTCTTTGTCAGCAACACAGCAGTAAATATCAACACAAAGCAGATTATTATTGTAAGGAAAACAAAGGGTAAAATATTTAACTGCAGCAGTGTTTGACTATATTCTGTGCAGTGAGAAAACCTGAAGTCATTTTCAAGGTCCACCATTTTTTACTTCTTTTTAGTCAGGTCAAGTTTCTAAGCTTTCTAAATCTCCATTTTCCAGCTAATGAAAAGAAAATAGGATTCCATCGAGTCTCCTATCTACCTACTCCAGAACTTCTGTGAGGATCAAATGAAATGAGACACATGAAAACGCTTCACAGACATTTGGTTAAAGTGTAAAATGTTTCCACCTGGCTATAAAGCAAGTCGTGTTTCTGGGCTGAAGAAACTCCAAGGAGTCTAGTCACTAGGGAGAGGAAGCTGGGCATTGCTATATGACCTCATTACCCGGTGCCCACAGCCATCGTTTCTAGGCTGGGCTGGGCTGTAGGCCACATTTTGCACCATGAGGTCTGAGCAGCATCTGCTGGGATTTGGTGGGGTGTCACTCCGGGGTGGTGGTGGGGGCCTGTGTCCCACTTGGGGGAAGCTGAGTGTTGCTTTGTCAGCACCAGGTCCATGATGCCATTCTTTGTAAATGGCCAGTGTGCATCACAGCAGCTCCTGCAATGTGCATCATAGTGACCGGTTGGATGGTTGGACACTTAGCATATTAGCCTTTTATATATATAGATGTCACAAGAGTGTGCCTTCTGATGGATTGTGGCATGTGCCCAATTAGTAAAGCATGCTGCACCAGCAGCATAACATTTGCAAATATGGTGCTCCTGGCTCTCATATTCCCAAGAGATGAAGTTATAAGGATCAACATGTAAAATGGCCCAGCTCCTGCTAAGAGACAGTCTGGGGAGTGTAAAGCCTGAAATAAGCTCTGCTAACAATGACCTTCCATTTTCAATTCATTCTCATAAGTTGCATGGTGCAATTATAAGCAACGCCACCATCCCACCATCCAACCATTGAGGCTGAATTCCAACACAGAGCCTTTTATCAGACATGGCAGCCAAGGCCACGTCCTGGAAACTCCAGGGAACACCCCACACACTAGAATCCAAGTCAGTAACACTTCCTCGGTTTGGGCAATTTGTGGTTCTGTGAGGATGGATACATTTCTATAAACAGAAAATCATAGTCTCCAATTCCATGAAAATGTTGGATTAAAAGTATTAAAGAATGGAGGAGAAGGCACCTTATTAGCCTACACAGTAGATAGTGTGCCATGTCTTTCTTTCAACTCCACATTCCACATTATGTGAATAGATTGAAATGTGGCCTGTGGCAGCATTATTGCAAAATACTCATGGTACTCAATTTGTCTCCCAATAACCTTAGCAAATACAAATAATGAACATTTGATTTTTAGTTTTGGATTTAAATGAGTTAATATATGTAAAGTACTTAGAATGACAGTCCAAGCACATATAGGAAATGCACTGATGTTATAGTAATGTGCAAGTGTATATGGCTTGAGCACTTACATATTTAGGATTTTCATATATCAATGTTTTTCTCAGATGCCCAATTTTTCACACTGGCTTCAGTCTTTACACCAGAAACAAATATGCATATTGAGAGAGAACGCCTTTACCTGCAGCTGGACTTGCACTATCTTGACCACGTGGAAGATGTACTTATCCTCACTCTCTTTGTTGTACTCTTGCATGGCAAACCACAGACACTGCTTCACGTTGTAATTAGAAGCATCAATAACTTTTAATTCCCTTATCACCTTGACCTTATTCTTGTCTGGGTCTGTGCTGGCCACCAGAGCCACCACAAGGGTAAGCAGGAACAGGCAGGACCCCCCGAGTCTTGTCATGGTCTCTCCATCCAGGGGCACAGGTGAGCCTTTGTCCTCTCAGGGATGGAGCTGCAGATGAGATGGGGTGACCGCTGCTGCTGCTGTTATAGGTTCAAAGATCTTACCACAACATCAGCCCAGCTAGATTCAAGACAGGGTCACCTGTAGGGCTACCCCTGCCCTCGAAGGAAACCCACCCTAGAGAAGCTATGAGGAGTCTCTGCTCCAGGCATCTGCCCTCCTTATCCTGGGTGTGGTCTGCAGTTCCAGGGAGAGCACTTAGCCCAGAGGTACCAACATCTACCCTGTAAGCCTCACCACAAACTTTTGCTTGTGTGTCTCAGGCCTATAAGCTGTGACTGGGTTCCTGGCTCCAGCACTCAGTGGGCCTTCCAACCTACCCCACTGCCAGCTGCTCCTTCCTCCTTGTGGAGTCAGATTCTGCCCCCGGTGCCAGCTCGTGGTTCTCCTGGGTCTCCAGCACTCTCAGCTTGCAGCTATACCCTGGCCTGTGGCCTCCTAATCTCTGGGTTCTCTTCATCTGTTGAGTCCATGCCCTGCAGAGAGGTTCCACTTTGTGATGTAATCTAGCACTTGTGACCCTGCCTCAGGGAGGGCATCTCCAGACTCCTGCCACTGACCTTCAGTCCAGGCAAACCCTTCCTGCTTCTGCCCTTGGAGTGAGGGTCCCTCAAAGATTTCCTGCTCACATGTGCCATGACCCTAGCTTCCTAAATGCCTGGCCTCTGGACTCCCTCTGGCCCAAAGTACCTCTCTCCACTGTTCTGCCAGAGAGCAGGTAACACAGCCCACCCTGTGGGGATCATGCACCCCCTGGGCTCTTAGAAATTCTGTTTCTCTGTGAAAATCCCAAATCGGTGTCCAGCAAATTACTAGAAAGGTAGATAGGTGAGCATTGGTCCCAGGGTGCCTTCACCTGACCTTGGCCTGCACCCCTCAGGAGGCCCCAGAGCAGTACATGCAGTGGAAAGCTTTAGACCACATTAAGCACCACCACCCAACCACCCCCACAAGCGATACACTCCAGAGGCAGACTCTGATGAAGTAAGTCCTGCTCTTTGGTGTGGGCTCCTGCACAGCTGGTCCTGGACAGTGTGGGGAGATCAGTGGTCATAGGCAGTCCTTATAGCTGATCATCCTGGGAGTAAATCTCTTCCATTGATGAGCCAAGAACTATCAAGGCTCAACTACAAGAGGAGGGTGTACACAGCCCACACCTGGGGTGAACTTCAAGTGCCCAGTTTGGGTGATCAGAGAGGCTATGACATTGGATCCTACAGGACACCTACAACATTAGGCTACTCTACTAAGCCTGGGATACATAGTAGCTCTACCTAATGCATAGAAACAAACACAGGGAAGCAGCCAAAATAAGGAGACAAAGAAATAGGTCCCAAAAGAAAGAACAGGAAAAATCTCCAGAAAAAGAACTAAGCGATACAGAGGGAAGCAAGCTACCAGATACAGAGTTCAAAACAATGGTTATAAGAATGTTGAATGAACTTAGAAACTCAACAGCATAAAAAAAGACCAGTCATAAATGAAAGATACATTAACTGAAATGAAGAATAATTTACAGGGAATCAACAGTAGAGTCAAATCCAAGACTCAAATCAGCAATTTTGAATATAAGGAAGCAAAGACCACCCAATTAGAACAGCAAAAAGAAAAAAGAATCCAAAAAAAATAAGGATAGCATAAGGAGTCTCTGAGACAACCTCAAGTGTACCAACACTTGCATCATTGGGGTACCAGAAAGAGAAGAGAGACAGCAAGAAATTGAAAACCTATGTAAAAAAGATAATGATGGAAAATTTCCCTAACCTGGTGAATGAAATAGACATACAAGTGCAGGAAGCACAGAGAGCCCCAAACAAGATGAACCCAAAGAGACCTACACCAAGACACATCATAATTAAAATGCAAAAGTTTAAAGACAAAGAGAAAATCTTAAAAGCAGCAAAAAAAAAGGAATTAGTTATTTACAAGGGAGAGCCCATTCAACTAGCAGCTAATTTTTTAACAGAAACTTTGCAGCCAGAAGGAACTGGCAAAAAATATTCAAAGTGCTCGGCCGGCATGGCTTAGTGGTTGAGTGTCGACCTATGAACCGGGATGTCACAGGTCAATTCCTGGTCAGGGCACATGCCTGGGTTGCGGGGTGTGGGGCGTGCAGGAGACAGCCGGTCAATGGTTCTCTCTCATCACTGATGTTTTTATCTTTCTCTCCCTCTCCTTTCCTCTCTGAAATCAATAAAAATATAAATAAATAAACTAGATGAGACTGGCCATGAGGGCATAGGAGGCCGCCTGCACAGTTGGTGGGGATGAGAACTGGTGCCTCTATTCTGGAGGACAAATTGAGGGCTTGCAACCCCTGAAATGCAGCAAGTCCATCCTCAAGTACTAGTTGAAAGAATTTCTTAGGTACAGGAGGGACATAAAGGTAAAAGTTCATTGCAGCAAATTTGGCAGCAAGGAATCAGAAGCAGTTTAGGAATGGAAGAAAGGGTAGGTAAAATAAGTGGGCATTCCTATCATACTATGCAAAAGTTAGAAGCTAGACTAGATGTATACAGAGAAACAAGAACAGATCTTTTAAAAGACAATGATAACAGGAAAAAGTAAATTCAAGGGCCTTGGCTGGTGTGAATCAGTGGTTAGAGCATCAGCCTATGCATCGAAGGGTCACAGGTTTGATTCCCAGTCAAGGGAACATATCTAGGTTGCAGAATCGATCCCTGGCCCCCATTGGTGTGCGTGCAGGAGGCAACCAACCAATATGTCTCTCTCACATTGATGTTTCTCTCTCTCTCTCTCTCTCTCTCTCTCTCTCTCTCTCTCTCCCCCCTCTCTCTTTCACTCTCTCTAAAAAATATCAATGAAAAAATATGCTCAGTGAGCATTAACCAAAAAAAGTAAATTCAAGGTACATAACGAAACAATTACATGAACATTATGAACACAAAACAATACTACCAATTCTTCAAGAATACCAGCATAAAGAAACCCATAGAAGTCATAAGATTGGTTATCTAAGAAGGAAATGGACAGGGAACACCAGAGTAGGTGTAAGAGAAAAAGAGAATGAATCAATAAATGAATAAATGGGAAGCAGACAAACCAGAGAGGGTTCTGGAACCCTTGGGATGGCAAGGGGTAAGGCCTAGGAGTGGGAAAGTACTGAGAACTGAGTCATAGAGGAGAAAAGTGCCTTCAAGTGCCCCTCCCCATGAGGAGGTCCCCTGTAAGCAGTGTATCTGTTGAGTACCTCCTGCACAGGAGGGGAGGGCTGTGAGTCCTTGCCTGCCCAGTGTGGCATGGAGATCAGCTTGAAGGGTCTCCAATGAATGATTTCTTCTTGATTTCTACCCTAATTTCACTGTGGTTTTAGAAGAGTCTGCATGGTATCAGGCCTGTGAATTTTGCTGAGAATTACTTTGTGACACACCACTGATCAATTCTGAAAATGTTTCATGTACATCTGGCAAGACCATGAACTCATGTTCAATGTTTCAGTGATGTTCAGGACAATTTGATATTGTGTCATTCAGATCTTCTGTATAAGAATTTGAGACCCTGACTGATGCATTGTGTCCAGTCAGTTTTACCTGTTTCTGGAAGTTGTGTTTTCTACTTTCACTACGATTGTATATTTGATTATTTCTTTCTGTTCTTTCTGTTTTTGCTATAAGTATTTGAAACAGGTGAACATTTTCATCAGCATAATAGCCCCCTTGATTTCAAGTGGTGCTTGTTGTCTTACAGTTAATTTTATAGGCTATTAGTACTGTTACACCATAGGCGTTGGCATAGTATACTTTAGTCCATCCTTATTTTTCAAAAATCTGTTTTCATATATTTATGATGTTTCCTTTTTGCTTTGTTTTCTTTTTTTGACATTTTTTTTATTGATTTCAGAAAGGAAGGGAGAAGGAGAGAGAATCAATGATCAATTGCCTCCTGCACATCCCCTACTGAGGATTGAGCCCGCAACCCAGGCATGTGCCCTGAGCGGGAATTGAGCCATGATCTCCTGGTTCATAGATTGATACTCAACCACTGAGCCACGCCAGCTGGACGCTTTGTTTTCTTTTGTTTTTCCAACAATAAACTAAATTTGTCTTTTAACTAGAGCATTAAGTTTACTTACATCATTCCAGCTGCATTTACTCTTCTCCCAGCTTTGTGCCATGATGTCCATGTATACTAACTCTATATGCATTTTACAATCTTCAATAAAATATTATATTTATAGTCTGTATATCATCTAGATTCATCCACATATTTATTCTTTTGAATGTTGTTTCCTTCTTCCTACTATACTATTTTTTCATCTTTTCCTTCTGCCCAGAAAATTCCCTTTAGTATTTATTTTAGAACAGTTCTACTGGCAATAATTACATCCACATTGTTTGTTTAAAATTACTTAGTTCTATATGCACTTTTGAGAGATATTTTTGCTGGCTAAGGAATCACTTAGAAGATGCATGACAATGTCTTTTGACTTTCATTGGTTTCTATCTGATGGCAGCGGAAAGCCTGATGTTTGCTTATTTGAAGATAAAACACCTCTGGCTGATTTTAAGACTTTTCTCCTTAAATTTGATTTTTAACTTTTTCATGCTCAGCTGTGGATTTCTTCTCTTATCCTGCATGGAGTTTGTAATACTGCTTTTAAAAAAATGTTTTGATGTCTTTGGTCAGCTCTGTATAACTCGGGCTTTGCATTTCCAAATATTGCTTCGGCCCCATTGTCTCTTCCTTTCACTATGAGGCAGATCTCACATTGACCTTCTCATACTTTTCATCCTGCAGCCTCTCCTTTGTCCTGCCTCCTGTTGTCTAATTCTCCTTTCAGCTGTTTCTAATCTGAGGTTAACCTGCCTGTCTCATTATTCATTTCAGTTATTGTATTTTCCAGTCCTAGGACTTTCCTTTTATTCTTTTTTGATAACTCCAACTTCTTTGCCAATATTATTCATCTTTGAATTCCTTGAACCAATTCATCCTAGGTATGTTAAAGTCCATATCTGATAACCACGTTGGCTAGATAGTTTTCAGGTTTGTTTCTATTATTTACCTTTGTTCTGTCCCATCATGTCTTGTACTTTCTTTGATAATTTTTTTAATGTGTTCTAGAAATTTGTGTTTCAAAAATATAGAACTAATTTGAACCTTTGTGTGATTTGGCTAATATTTTAGATTTATCTAACAGCTATGCACACAATGTAAGCCATAGGACAGGTCTATGTAAAATATAAGCAATTTCAGAGATAATGGGTGTCATCATTTACAGAGTAACAGAAAGTGGGAGGCCGTGAAGAAAGCGGAAGAGGAAGAAAAAGAGGTGGTACAGGGTCTACGGATAGATTGAGGCAGATGCTATGAGGCCTTTGAGTTTGGGGCAGTTGGCGATGGGGTGAGGGGCTCATCCTGACAAATGCAATGATTTGAGACATTGATTTGTTGGTTTTGAACCACTGATGGTATTCCTAGGCTGATAATGTGACCTCATAAGAGAGGACAGGAGAGCAGATAAACAATAGCGGTTTCTGGGGCAGGTGATGTTGTTCTGAAAATAATATTTGGAGGGCCTCACAGAAAGGAAATAAGAAGTGGTTAGTTACAAGTGTTTCTAAGCCTTTGTTTCTGTTCTAATAACAATGAATCTTCATGTTTGGAAACCAATGAGTCAAAAGGGAAATTGGTGATAAGAGTGCTGGATTCAGTCAGCCTTGAGCTCAATTCAGAAAACCACAAGACAAGTTGCTAGTTTCCTGATAGAGAAATGGAAAAAGGGGCTGATGGTGGAGATTCACAGAGATAATCTCATCACTCAAAATGTACTACATCCAATGTGTAGGGAGCACGGTTCTCCTAGTTCTCCTCAACCTCCTTCCCTCTGCCTTGAATTTTCCCCCAAAGACCCCAGTGCTGCGATTTGGGTTAAGCCCCATTTTCAGGAGGGAGGGGGGTCCTCAGCAAATATATTCCATAAAACGATCTGGTAATTCCATAAAACAATCTAGGTTTTATGGAAATCAAGCATTTCTAAAATGTGCCCATTTTCATATTGTGTGCTCGTATTATGACTTTAAGTGCATTTTTACTCCCTCCTGATCTGGGACAAATAGTGGCTGCACTGAATCTGGAGAGGTCTCTCCAGGACACAGCAACACAGGATAGGTTGCTCCTGTTCTAACAGACCTTAGTGAGTGGCGCATCATTCAAAAACTACTAGTGTGGGTTCAAGGACCGTGGTGTCAGGCACAAAATGTACCAACCCTACCACAGACCTGTAATTCGGTGAGAGTGGGAATCAGAGGAAAGACGGAGGCCACAAACAATATTCACTAACTGCGATTTACACAATTTCTAAATGTGGAAGTTCCTTAGAGAACCATTACACGACCTTGGCCACAAGTGCCAATCACCTGGGGGCTTTATATGTTTCTGATGTCAGGTCACAAAAATTCTTCTATCATAGAGATGGGGGTGTGGCCTGGTCTCTAGGAAATTTGTAACATAAAACCAATGGAGTTTTCATACAAATCAAGGTAGGAAACTACTGAAGTACAGTGAAAAGGAATAGGATACCAGGCCCCTGATGTAAAACGGGAGTCAGAGGTGAAGGTGATGCCACCCATGAGGAATGCCAACTAGCATTCAGCCAGGGTCTGGCTGTCCTCAACCATGAACAATGTCTCAACCGCTAGGAACCTGTGTGCTATCATAGGCAAGAGTGGGCAATAGGCTGGCTTTGCTGACTACAGAAATGCCCTTGCAACTTTATAGATGCCCCTATAGAACTGTGGGCAGATGTTACAAACTCTATACACAGATTGATCAAAAACTCCCAAGCTGGCCCAGGCCACTCTCTTCATGCTGTCTCCAGCTGTCCAGGGAAATCCTACACCATCAGCCTTACGACCAGTTCATGGCAATGGGATGGCCAGGAAAGAGCCAGCCTTTCGACTATGGACCAATTAAACCAGAGTTCTCAGAAACCCAGGTGGGATGAAGGAAGTCCCATCAGCCCTTCGCTCTGAAATATTTCGACAGAAGGCATTGCCACTGTGTCTCTGTCCCCATTCATGCTCTGCACCCTCCCATGCCTTCCATCTGTCTCTCCAGGCTGCTCCTCCCCAGGACCCAGGGACAGAGAGATGCTCATCAGAGTGGGTGTCAGTGGCCACAGTGCCTCTCCCAGGGGAAGTGAGTAGTGTTGATAGCTATTAACATCACACTAAGCCAAGATGGAGAAACAGAGGCTCAGGGAGCATGTGGGAATATAGTGGCTGGAGCTGCTACATTATAAGCCTTCTCAGAGAGCATGAGAGGATGTTCTTGTCGACAATTCAGTTCTTTGTGTAGATGCTCTGATGAATGTACATGGAGGACAGAGCCTTCAATCAACTTCAATCGCCCACCTTCCATCCCTATGTCTGGGCATAACGCACTATAAAAAGGCCACTATAATGTGACCTGGGCCCAGAGGGGGAAAAATTATCTGCATTCCTATCAGTGGATTGAAAGAGGAGCACAAAGAGATTGGGGAATAAATGAATAAACAAATAGATGGATGGATGAATAAATGAACAAAAGGAAAAATGGATGGATGGATGGATGGATGGATGGATGGATGGATGGATGAATGGATGGATGGATGGATGGATGGATGGATGGATGGATGGATGGATATATAAACAAACCAGTGGGGCTCTACAAGAACCAGTAAGGACAGCCACACATGAACTGGGGAGTTGGATTTAGTCAACACTCTGCACCTGCAGCCAAGGTAAGAACAATAGTGATAAATTCTCTACCACATGCCACTAGCAGAGCTTTTTCTGGAAAATAAACAACAGGAGAATGCAAAACTGACAGGGACCCAGGAAGTGCTCTGAGATGCCTTTAATTCCCCTGTGCTTCACAGTCAGATCCACTGTCACTCTCCAGAGGAAAGGAATCCTCTGCTGTGAGAAGCAGACGCCCCTTCCCCGCCTATGTCTGCAGGCAGGTGCTGTCCAGGAGGGTGAACTGGGAAATCCATGGTCGGGCATCCACAATGAAAGTGCAGTTCACCTGAAAAATGGAATTGCAGGACAAAATCAGAGGCATGTAGCACATGAGAGCACTTACCATGAAGAACTTGATAGGAGCTCAAGATGCATTGAAAACTACAAGAGGAAAGAAAAAAACAACAGTGGGCTGAATAGACTTAGGAAGCTCAAGGCTCCACCAGGATGATAGGCACTGGTTACCTGAGTCTGTCCACCTGAGCCCAGAGACTCCTAAGAGGATGCCTGCTGGGGCCAGCACCTGGCTCTCAGGGTCTCCCAGTGCACATGATGAGTGGCCCCTTCCCCGTGAGTTCTAGGGAGCCAGCACCATGCCCAGGGGATGGTCCAGGTGGACATGCACCCACTCAGCAGAAGCTGTAAACCCACCCCAAGGGGAGGCTATCCCCAAGGCTGGGGTAGGAGGGGAAGACCAGCCCCACTGACAGTGTCACCCTGAGTGAGGCCCATCCCCAAGGTCCGAGTTCCATGGATCAGATGTCATCTCATAGGATAATGAACAAGGGCTTGGACTGATGAGGCGTGTCCTTGCAGCCCAGGAAGCTAGAGGGAGAGGTGACCTAAGATCCAGAAGAACAGGAGCAAAGAAAGAGCGAGGACCACAGGAAGCATCTGCCTGGACCTCAAGGTCTCAGGAAACTTTGAGACTGGGACCCAGGGAGAAGGCTCCATCCAGGGGAGGAAGGTAGAGTGGGTGTTGTCAGTGTCTCTGGTTAACCAGTCAGGCTGTGAACACAGGATTCAGCTCACTGCTCTGCTGAGAGTAGCTCTGTCTGCTTAGAATGACCTCCTTCCCCCTCCAGGGGGAGCACTGGGACCTGGTGAGAGAGAGACTAAGGCCCTCATGTACCCCGGAAGTGTCTCTGAGACCTGGTGGGAGAGGGGCTAAGACTCATCTACCCCAGGAGTATTCCTGAAGACTTTCTTAAACCTTCTCTCTGATATTATTTTTTTTATTTCCAGAAGGTTCATGATGCTTTGGGTTGTTTTAGTCTCAAACCTCTTTCATGCCTGGGCCTTCTTGCAAGGGGCAGTTGTCAATGTCTTCATCATGTTTCTTACAAACCGTGCGGCCCATATTCAAATCCATTAAATAATTCCAAGAAAACAGCTGTCAAAAAGAAATTGTAGAAACTGCTATAAATATTTACTGTGAACTAAGGAGTAAAACAGAGACAACCAAATAGAAAAGTGGGGAAAAGATATGAATGGGCAGTTGCATGCATATAAGTAATGATATACATCGGTGCACTTTTCCTTGCTTTTCTTACTTTTTAATTTATTTATTATTTCACTTGCTCCTTGATAGTCTCCATTTCTATTACAAAAATATGTTCATGTGTGCACACAAAGCATGCACTAGCATCTCCCCTGCCACACTCCTCCTGATGGCCGATACCAGGCAACCGCATCAACATGCCATGAACATAGGGGGACATGTACACAGGATGGAAACCTCCACAGCAAGGAGCCTACACACGCTGCAGCCACACCTGACACAAGACCCGTCTCTCAGTTCTATGCCAGGCACAGCCGGACACCAGAACACACGGAATGAGTGCTGCTATGGAGAGTAGGACAATGAGCCTGCCTGTCCTCTGACTGGACGTCAGAGCTGCACTATTCCTTTTGGGGGCCCTATGGGTGGGGAGCACTCTGTCTCTCCCCGTGGGAGCTGGCTGCACAAAAGGGCTCATCTTGCAGACATACATTGAGGTGATATTTATGAATCAGGTGCTGCTTGTATTTTTTAGGCTTCTCTAAGATGTTATTGGAAGTTGTGATTTCCTCCTCTGGTTGGGGTGGCTCGGTTTGTTGGACCATCATCCCATGCACTGGAAGGTTATGGGTTTGATTCCCAGCCAGAGCACCTTCCTAGGTTGCAGGTTTGATCCCCAGTAGGGACATGTATGGGAGCCAAGTGATCAAAGTATCTCTCTCACAACAATTTCCCTCTCTCTCGCTCAAATTAATGAGAAAATGTTTAAACATAAAAATTAAGAAAAAGGTTATGATTTATTTTCTTTAAATACAGTCTAGAAAACTAGGGAAGAACTCAAACTCAAAGAGAAATCTAGCCAGAAACCAGCGCAGGCAGGAACATGCCTCTCTCACTGGACTGACCTTAGAAGGTTGATTCATTGGGCCTCAGGAATTCCTGCAGCTGACACATGACTGGACACACACCAACAACACACTCAGACACAGACACTCTTGCATGCCCAGGCCCTCTGAATAGTCATCAGACCCTGAGCTAGGACAGGGTTCAGGGTCTGGTGCAGGGGCAGTCGTGTTGGTGGCCCAAGGGCCTGTGTGGCCTACCCGGATGCAGCATAAGAAAGAGGCAGACATCAGGAAATGGGAAAGACTGAGGGGAGCCGGTGTCCCTGTGCAGGTGAGGTCCACCCTCCTGTCCGTCTCTTCCAGAGGGTGGTCTGTGGCGGGACCCTGTGACAGGGTGCCTGGCTCAGGGCTGTTCACGGGGAACCAGAATCTGAGCATGGACAGAATAACTTGAGAACAACACTCTTCATTCAAGTCAATGTAGGCAGGAAGTGGTAGGAATAAACATCAGTGGAAGGTTTGCATAAACAGATGCTAATGACACCTACATTTATTTCAGGCCCAATCTCTTTCTACCCTTAAAGCTCTAGAACCCACTGCCTCATATATCTACACTAATAAAAGAGAAACATGGTAATTAGCATACAACCGCTACCCTTCCCATTGGCTAATCAGCATATCCTTATGCAAATTAACTGTCAGCCAAGATGGCGGCCGGCAGCCATGCACTGAAGCGAGCAGGGAGGCTTGCTTGCTCCAGTGATGGCAAACTCCAACGTTCCCCGCCTAACTTGCCGGCCTCTCAGCTGCAACTCTAAGCAACTATGTACTATGTTGCAAATAAGAAGCTAATCAAAACCCCAGAAACCAGCTTTCATTCATCTGAGGACCGCAACATTGTATCGATGTTTTCAGCAGCGAGGCCTCAGAGCTAAAGCTGGCCCAGAATAAAAAAAAAAAAAAAAAAAAGAAAGAAAACAAGGAGCGGTTGGGAGCTTCAGTCACTCGCCAATGTGAAAACGGCCCTCAGCCTCTCAGCCAGCCTGGCCAGGCACCCCAGTGGGGACCCCCACCCTGATCCAGGACATCCTTCAGGGCAAACCAGCTGGCCCCTACCCATGCACCAGGCCTCTATTCTATATAGTAAAAGGGTAATATGCCTCCCAGCACCGGGATCAGCGGAGCAGCGAGGCTCCCGGCACTGGGATCAGCGCCCAACCCCTGATCGCCCTGCAGCTCTGTGAGTGACAGGGTGCGGCACCCCGCCCCCCCCAACAGGCCCTGCTCTGTGTGTTGCAGGGTAGAGCCATAGCCTCTCATTGGCCCTGCCCCGAGTGTGACAGTGGCAGCGCCCCAACCCCCTGATCGGCCCTGCTCTGTGGATAATAGAGGGTGGTGCCCCAACCCCCCTCCAAGGGCCTTGCTCTGTGTGTGACAGGGTAGAGCCATAACCTCCCCATTGGCCCTGCCCTGAGTGTGACAGGGTGCAGCACCCCAACCCCTTGATCTGCCCTACTCTGTGAGTGACAGGGGGGAGCTCCCCAACCCCCTGATCGACCCTGCTCTGTGTGTGACAGGGTATGGAGCCCCAACTCCCCTGATGGGCCCTGCTCTGTGAATGACAGGGGGCAGCGCCCCAACCCCCTGATCGGCCCTGCTCTGTGAGTGACAGGGGGCAGCGCCCCAACCCCCTGATCGGCCCTGCTCTGTGCGTGACAGGGGGTGGTGCCGCAACCTCCCCATCGACCCTGCCTTGAGTGTGACAGGGGGCGGTGCCCCAACCCCCCAATCGGCCCTACCCTGAGCATGACTGAGGGTGGCATCGCAACCTCCCAATCTGCCCTGCTCTGTGCATGACAGGGGGCGGTGCCCCAACTCCCCAATCAGCCCTGCTCTGAGCCTGACCAGGGGCTGCACCTAGGGATTGGGCCTGCCCTCTGCCACCCAGGAGCAGGCCTAAGCTAGCAGGTCGTTATCTCCCGAGGGGTCCCAGACAGTGAGAAGGCACACGCCGGGCTGGGGGACCCCCCCACTCCCCCCCGAGTGCACAAATTTTTGTGCACCGGGCCTCTAGTATAAATATATATATATATATATATATATATATATATATATATATATATATATATATATATATATGTATATATATTTTTTTTTCCCAGAGAGGAAGGGAAATGGAGAGAGAGATAGAAACATCAATGATGAGAATTATTGATCAGTCACCTCCTACACAATCCCTAGAGGTCAAGCCAGCAACCTGGGCACATGCCCTGATGGGGAATCAAACCATGATCACCTGGTTTATAGGTCGGTGCTCAACAACTAAGCCATGCCGGCCAGGCTAACCCACTGCCTTCTTGACCTTCTATAGCTGGTTCAGGGATACTAAATGTCATATTTCTGCCTAGATTTTTCCACCTTGGATCTGCCCTTGACCCCACTGTTTTTCTCACACCCCACCTCAGTGCACCCCACATCCACCTTGAAGCAGACCCAGACGCCAGCACTTCTTCTATCTCCTGGTGACCAGGAAACTGTCCCTGCCTCCTGGTCTCAGCTTGCCCATGGGCTGTGCACCCCACTGTACCCACAGCATCCAGAGAGATGTCACTAAAGCATCTGAATTACTTCCCCCAATGGGTCCTCATTACTCTGAGAATAAAATCCTACCTCCTCACCTATGGCTCTGAGCATGCCCCAGCCTCACCTCCACCAAAACCCTCCTCTGTGACACAGGTTCAGACTATTTGGCTGTTTCCAGGACTCCCAGGGCTTGTCCTGGTCCAGGGGCCCCTTGGTGGCTGCCTGCCCTTCTTGTCCCCAAACCTCCACCATGTGACTTGGTCCTTCCAGGAGTGCCCATCACAGAAAGGCCCTCTCTGACCGCCCCCACATACCTTGCCTGCCAGGGCCCTGGGTCCCTGCACTGACATTCTTGTCCCAACTTCCACTGTTTCACTCATGAACCTGACGCCTGATTGCCTCTCATCACAGGCATAACAGTCCCATGAGAACATGTTTCCGTCTGTCCTCTCTGCTGCCTCCCACCAGGCCTGGACCCACAGTGGCTGCCAGGTCAAGGCCTGCCGGCTTCGATTCAAGCAGGAAACATCGAAGCCCCTGCCTTTAGATCAGCACAGTGGGCTGTAGCCAGGCGCCTCTGTGCCGCCTTTCCTTCTGGGGCTTTCGTTTCCAGCAGCCGCTTCTCTCTGTCATTCTCCTCACCTGTCAATCTCTGCTGCCCTGCTTCTCTCAGCTGCCTCACTTGAGAGGTTGCTTTTCTCTCCCCAACACGGCCGGCTGCTGAGTGCTCTCCTTCCTGCTGTCTCCTTTCCTTCTCTACCCTGATTTCTAGGGGCTTCACTCGTTAAGGAACCAAAACAGAAACTTGAAGCACTTGTAATGATACCTTGCATTTTTAAAAATACTTACCAAAAACAAAAAATCTTCCTTTCCTCCTTTGCAGACCAAGGAGTCACCTCTCCCAGGTCTGTTTCAGGGCCAGCATGAGCCTGGCGGGGAGAGGGGCTGGGGGAGGGGAAGGGGGAAGGCGTTGAAGCACCGCTTACCTTGCGCTGGCTTCTCCCCACCCACAGCAGCTTGTAAGCATACTCATCCTCCTGGGCTTGGTTGAACTGAAACATGGCAAACTCCACACCTATGGCAAACAATTGTGTGTTCTTACTCTCATCCACAAACTTGGAACTGCAGACAGGAGGCCCCAGTGCAATGAGCCCCAGGAGCAGAGGCACCTTCAGGAGCATGCTGCCTGCTGTCACCCCTGGGGGCCAGCAGCATGCCAGTGTTGAGTGGCAGCTGCTTTGGCGCCGCCTCCATAGTTCCCCATCCCACACAGCCCTGCCCCCAGAATCCACACGCTGACCTGCGCCTTGACCGGCTCCTCCTCTCTGCTCCCTTCCTTGTCATCACCAAACGGAAGGCAGAACATTTTCCAACCCTTGGTCACATAAGCCTTGAACTCAAGGACATTCATGCCACATGACCTGTTCCCTGCACATTTTCAGGGCTGCCTCCTCCTGCCCCAGGCCAAGCCTGATAGGGCCTGGGTAGGGGTCTGAAGCCCCACTAGCTTGCCCTCACAGCAGTACAGCATGGGGATGACAGAGTCACAGGAGCTCTTAGGATTACCGATGGACCCTAAGGACTTGATATAAAAGCCAGGTCAACCTCTGACCTTGGCTGCATCCGACAATCTCAGGGAACAAAGGAGGAGTCAGGGAGAGGTCAGTGCACAGTCTTCTACACCACCTCGGGCACCTGCTGCCCTACTCGCTATGAGGCCTGCCCAGGCTTGGCAGTGCAGAGAGGGACTTCTATTATACTGGGATGGGTTTACATCCCAAAGGGCCACCCACTGTGATCATGGTCACAGATATGGAAGCAGAGGGGACACATGAGGCTGCTCCCTGGGAAAACTGCCTGCATTCCTATGAGTAAAATGAAAGAGGGGCATGGAGAGATTGGAGAATAAATGAATAAACAAATAGATGGATGGATAAATAAGTGGACACATGGACAACAGGATGGATGGATGGATGGATGGATGGATGGATGGATGGATAGACGGATATACAAACAAACCAGTGGGGCTCTACAAGAACCAGTAAGGACAGCCACACATGAACTGGGAAGTTTGATTTACTCAACATGCTGCACCTGCAGCCAAGGTAAGAACAATAGTGATAAATTCTCTACCACATGCCACTAGCAGAGCTTTCTCTGGAAAATAAACAACAGGAGAATGCAAAACTGACAGGGACCCAGGAAGTGCTCTGAGATGCCTTTAATTCCCCTGTGCTTCACAGACAGACCCACTGTCACTCTCCAGAGGAAAGGAATCCTCTGCTGTGAGAAGCAGGCGCCCCTTCCCCACCTATGTCTGCAGGCAGGTGCTGTCCAGGAGGGTGAACTGGGAAATCCATGGTCGGGCATCCACAATGAAAGTGCAGTTCACCTGAAAAATGGAATTGCAGGACAAAATCAGAGCCATGTAGCACATGAGAGCACTTACTATGAAGAACTTGATAGGAGCTCAAGATGCTTTTAAAACTACAAAAGGAAAGAAAAAACAACAACAGTGGCCTGAGGAATTAGGAAGCTCAAGGCTCCACCAGGATGATAGGCAGTGGTTACCTGAGTCTGTCCACTTGAGCCCAGAGACTCCTAAGAGGATGCCTGCTGGGGCCAGCACCTGGCTCTCAGGGTCTCCCAGTGCACATGATGAATGGCCCCTTCCCCGTGAGTTCTAGGGAGCCAGCACCATGCCCAGGGGATGGTCCAGGTGGACATGCACCCACTCAGCAGAAGCTGCAAACCCACCCCAAGGGGAGGCTATCCCCAAGGCTGGGTAGGAGGGGAAGACCAGCCCCACTGACAGTGTCACCCTGAGTGAGGCCCATCCCCAAGGTCCGAGTTCCATGGATCATATGTCATCTCATAGGATAATGAACACGGGCTTGGACTGATGAGGCATGTCCTTGCAGCCCAGACGCTAGAGGGGGAGGTGGGACGACCAGACTCACTAGATGGTCTAAGTTCTGGAAGAACAGGAGCAAATAAAGAGTGAGGACCACAGGGAGAACAGCATCTGCCTGAACCTGAGGTCTCAGGAAACTTCTACGCTGTGACCCCAAGAGAGGGCTCCATCCAAGGAGAAAGGTAAGGTGTTGTCAGAGTGTGTCTGTCAGCCAGTCAGGCTGGGAGCACAAGGTTCAGCTCACTGCTCTACAGGGAGCAACTCTGTCTGCCTTCCCCCTCCAAGGTGGGAGCTATGGAACCTGGCGGGAGAGAGGCTAAGACCCTCATCTACCCCAGAAGTGTCTGTGAGTCCTGTTGGGAGTGGGGTCAGGACCCTCATTTTACCCCAGGAGAGTTCCTGAAGACTTTTGTAAGCCTCCTCTCATAGTATAGTTCCTCTGTGAGATAAGAGAAAACATATATATCTGCCCCCTGATTCTTGGCACAGAGCTCTTGAGTTTCTTATAAATTTTGAAGTGATAAGAACACTAAGAGCATTTTTTGTTCTATTAAGGTGACTCTGGATGAGCTCTTGGATGAGGATTGGGCGACAAAAAGAACAAATCATGATCAGTAGGTTAGAATTCTTAGCCCCACCAACCTCCTATCTTCCAAAGAGGGGAAAGAGGCTGGAAATGGAGTTAATCATCCATCATGCCTACACGATGAAGCCTCCATAAAATCCCAAAAATATAGGATTTGGGAACTTCCCGGTGGGTGGACACATCCATGTACTGAGAGGGGATGCCCCCTGACTGCATGTGGACAGGACTCCTGCTCTCTGGACCTCCCCAGACCTCACCCTGTGTATCTCTTCAGCTGGCTGTTCATTTGTATCCTTCACCATGTCCTTTAATAAACTGTTAAACATAAGTTAAGTATTTCTTGAGTTCTGTGAGCTGCTCTAGCAAATTGAGGTCATTGTGGGAACCTTGGATTTTTAGCCAAATCAAACAGAAGTTGTGGGTATCCTGGGGACCTACCATTGTGATTTGCATCTGAAGTGAGGGGAGAGTAGTCTTATGGGACTGAGCTCTTAACCTGTGCGATCTGGCACTATCTCCAGATAGAATTAGAATTACATTACACTGTAAGATATCTAGCTGGTGTTACAGAATTGCTTGTAGTGGGAACACCTCCACCCATTTGGTGACCAAAAGTATCAGGAATGAAGTATTCTGGGTGAGGAGTAAAGGAAACATATAGCAAGACTGTAAGTTTTCTTTGCAATAAACCTTTCTTGATATTATTTTTCATTCTCAGAGGATTCATGATGCTTTGGGGCTGCTTTTATTCTCAAACCTTTTCCGCTCCTGGGCTTCCTTGCAAGGGGCAGTTTTCAATATCTTCAACATATTTTTTTTACAAATTGTGCAGCCAATCTCTAAACCTCATTGTCCACAGCCCTCCTTCTTTGGCAGGTGCTGAACTCCAGTTTTTGTTCCCCAAATTGAGACAAAGAAAATGCCTTTTCTTCAGAGACATTGAAAATCACCACCTCTCACTCCTCCATTCACACCTCCAGTGCCCTCCCACTCGCTCATCTCTCCCTTACAGGTCTTGTTCCGAGATGGGCAGAATAGGGATGAGACAGTCCACACCAGGCGAGTGTCCATCACCACACATTTCTCCCAAGGGCAGTGATTGGTGTCTGCCGTCCAAGTCCTCAGCATGGAGAGCAGTCTGGGTCCCCAGGTGGGGTAATTTATTTTTTAAAATATATTTTTATTGATTTCAGAGAGGAAGAGAGAGATAGAAACATCGATGATGAGAGAGAATCATTGATCGGCTGCCTCCTGCACGTCCCACACTGGGGGTTGAACCCACAAGCCAGGCATGTGCCCTGACCGGGAATCGAACTGTGACCTCCTGGTTTACAGGTCAATGCTCAACCACTGAGCCATGCCAGCCGGGCCCCAGGTAGAATAATTTATGCATCAAGGAGTAGGTAGGCACATACAGAGCTGAGCTGATGCCTTTGAAGGTAAAGTACAGTCCTGGTAAAGGTATTCTCTTATTTTTATTTTATTTTATTATTTTATTTTATTGATAAAGATATTCATGTAAAGCAGTGACCCCCATGCAGTGCTCTTCGTGGGTATCTACAGATAAAAAGACCTTCCCTCGGCCACCCTTTCCCTCTTCTCAGGCCTGGGCATGGTCCCTCCAGAGAAGACCTGTGTCATGTATGAAAGAAAAGCTATAAAATGGAGTTGGTATTGTCAAGAGAGCAATCTAAAATGGAGCCAGAGATCTCCAACAAGCTGAGCTAACACACTTCCTCCGTCTGAAACTGAACTTTTAATTGGGTAAACCAAAAGGCTACATCCTGATACAGTTCCTGGAACTGGCTCTGCATCACTGAGCTCTCTATTGAAAGTTTTTTTTATCTAGCAATCAATCATAGATAGCATCAATCACGGCTCTTTCAAAGCAACTTGTGTAATCACTTTGTAAGTGACCCTTTTTATGCCTTTATAAACTCTGTCCCTTTCTTTCTCCCTGGAAACCCAGTTGGATTTCTGCCTAAATCTGTCCTTCAAATTGCAATTTCTAAAAACAAAACGAAACAATTAAAATTTTTGTTTGCCTTGCAATTCTTGCTCAAAACTGATTAACACTTATGAGCCTTGTGGCCTGAAGCAGAAGTAGCCTTATTTCTTGAGAAGTTCTCCTGCAATCCTTGACATTCAGGAAGTTTATATAAAAAGAAGAAAGTTTTTGTTTCATTTGAAACAACATCAAATTTTGCAACCTGGCTTTGCCTTAAAGGGTTCTTTCATCTTTTTTGGCCTCTAGTCCAGGGTTGAGCACTGCCCCTGTAAGGGTCAACAGAGGTATTTCCCCTCTTCCCTGTGGAGGTCAGGCCCCCAGGGGCAGGGCCATAGGATTAGACCCACTTGTGGCTTATGGACAAAGCAGAGAGCTGCTTAAGTCAAGGCCCTGGAGGTTCTGCTGGACCCCAGTAGTTACTGCCCTGGGATGGGGCTCAGGACTGAGCAGATGTGTGCACACCCACATCACAGTAGCATTAGTCACTGTAACCAAAAGACAGAGCAATCCATGTCCATTGACAGATAAGTGGATAAACAAAATATTGTATATACATATAATAGAATACTATTCAGCTTTTAAAAAGACTGTTGAGGATATTATGGTAAGTGAAATAAGCTAGTGACAAAAGAACAAATACTATATAATTCCACTTATATGAAGTATGTAGAAT